AAATCTTTGTATGTAGCTATTTCACTTTTTTTTCTACCAAAGGCTCCTGCTAAATAACTACCCTATCTAACACTTGTCAAAGACTTTTTGGGCCTGATTTTCAGTGCTAACACCCACAAAACTGACTTAAATAAATGGGAACTCAGCAAAATCAGGTCCTAAACCAGTTAGATCGGTACCAAAAGAGCATGCACATTTCCACTGCCTCACACTGGCTTGTCTACCAAGTTATGACTGTCCATTCTTGAAGACAAAGATGCTTGGAAAGGGTAACCCACCCTTGACACAAAATAGTACAGTACACACCAGTGCCTAAAAGGCTTGACAAGCCCATAGTGACCATTATTTCCAGAAAAAAAGGGTGATTCACAAAGCAGATAGTAAAAAAAATAAGAGCAAAAAGGATACATGCAAACAGCTATCCATACAACAGATAGATCTATGTCAACAAAACAGAGTAAGCAGATACCTAAATAACTGAAGGGAGTTAGATCTAGAGCAAAACAACTTGCTGCATACGGTGTTATGTACGTTTCTGTGAGTACCTTTGAGTGTCATTGCACATGTTTATTACCTATAAGTAAGATGAAGAGAATATCATTTATGGCAAGAAGGTAGCTGATATCTAATCTAGCTGCAAATGCACCTTTCCCTGTAGGCATATTTTTGTTTTAGCCAATATTTTTTGTTTTTAACCAATATTATTGTCGTTTTAAAAATAAAAGCTTCCATGTTTCATATACGATGTTACAGTCTAAGGACGGAAATATTTAAATATAATTAAAAAAGGAAGAAAAAATAGAGGCAGTATAGGATACACAGATGTACCCAAAATTTTCTGTGCACTTTGTAAGATTATGATGCTATAGTGAGGGAGAGAAAATTGAATTTCAAAGACCTACTGGAAAAGGCATTTTTTGCTAGGCTTGTGCATAGGGGAGTGTGCACAGTTAGGATTCCTATGTCTTGTCACCAGCATTTGGATGGTCTTTGTTGTTGCTGATGGGAAATGAAGCCCATGTAAAATCAGTCTTGTTTTGTTTTGGAAAATGGAGCTGGCCTGTTTCAAAGAGATGAGGGCTTCTGTAACCTACATTTATTAGACATTATAGAGGGTCTTTAGACCAGCATGGCCCTCAGAGGGATCATATGGGTGAGTTTAAAAGACACACCATCAATTTCAATTATCATAATTAATTATGCAAAAATTTCAGAAGGGATATTAACATGGGCAGCCGGTGGAGCCCCGCTTTGGGAAGGCTAGTTCCCAGCTCCGCCCCTTCTGCCCATGCCCCTCCCCTGGGGCAGAGCCCCGAGTGCCACCCCCTTGGACGGAGGAGCCCTGAGCCCCCACAACCTGCCTGAAGGAGCCCTGGGCCAGCTGTGCCACCCCTTCTCTTCCTTCCACTCCCCAGACCCCAAGCTGCCCAGGAAAAGCTGCAGCATGACACTGACTCTTCCCGGAGAATAAACTGAGCTTTTGATATGCCCCATGCAGATTCTGGGGCGGATGAGGAGGCAGTATGTGTTACTCAGATTCCTCAGTTCATCAGTAATCTCTCTGGAGTCCAGGCAGATTACTGATGAACCCAGGAAGCTGAATAGCACACACCGCCTCCTCAGCCACCCCAGAACCTGTATGGGGCATAATAAAGCAACACCTTCCCCCTGCCAAACCTGTAACTAGGCATCTGGCGGCAAGCGCCATGGGAGGCAGAACTGCCCCGGCCTATTATATCCTCCACCCATGGATATTAATCCTAGTGTGTCAGAACTTAAACCTAACCATCAGAGAGCAGGATGAGGCCTATGTGGTGGGCAGATTATGCCACATCTGCGAACTGCAGGGCTCTTCTGAAGTGTCTGGTGCTGTTCACTGCCGAAGACAGGATACTGGACTAGATGGACCTTGGGTCTGAGCCGGTCAGGCAATTCCTATGTTTCTAATTTTAAAATTGCACTATTCTCTGAATGTTTTTACCTGCTGTTGTTACCTAAGGTAGTGTGAGTGAATGTGTCTAGAAAAGGGAAAGTTTTCCCCTGGTTTGCTTACATTGTCCATTTGATAGCAGTTTAGTCAGTTCTGTTATTTCCTATGGATAGTTAGCCAGCTTTCCCATTTGTTTGTGTGGATCTTTCACACAGCAATAGAGAAGAGAAAAATAGTTAAAAAGCAAACAAACAAGTGCGCCCCCCAACCCCTGGGCCAAAAAAAATTCTGCTTATAAAACCACAGGAATTGGCAGGAGGACTCAGATACGCCTAGTGCTTGAAACTGCTTTCAAACTTTCAAACTATTTTTTGTGGCTTTAAGTGCTTTTTTGTCCACTAATGTTTCTTTACAAAGACATAAGAGTCCAAAAAAGGGGGTTGTTGCTTTAGATTGTAGGGAGGTTGGCTTGTATGTGTAGACATAGACACAGGAGACAGTGTTCACTATGCTTTGAAGGGCTTCAGCACTTTCTCATGTGTTAAAGCTGGGCTGTTAATACCGAGCCATAATCTTTGTATCTTGGGGTGTGCAGTGGCCAAGTTAATTGGGTACAGAAGTAGGAGTTAGAAGGCCTGAATTCTATTCCCAGCCATGTCACTTTCTTATTCAAACTCTGTGGGCAAATCACTTGGTTTCTCCATGACACAATTTCCTCATCAGAAAAACAGAGAAAAAAAGCATACTCATGCTTTGTAGAACATGAGACTGTGGGTGAAAGTTCTGCATTATTAACAGTAATTAGTGAGGTGTGTACCACCTCTCCCGGCTGGATGGTGGCCATTCTTGTTTTCTAAATTACTTTCTAATTCCCAGTTTCTGGGTAATTGTTGGATATGGAAGCTACACAGCTTGGTGATGTGGAAAGATGTCCTGTCTGGTTCATTCCCTCCTCTAGCCTCTGATAAAGGTTGTTCACTGTGACTTCATATTTTAAGATGCCTGAGGAGATGGCAGCATTTAATCTTTTTTTAAAAATAGGAATTGTGTGGTAAGCTAATGTGGTGTGGGTGTAGGTGTGTGAGGAGGGGCGTTGAAAAAGAATTGCTTGTGGGAAGTTACAGTGCTATGTATCCTATAAAAAGTGCTTTGCACTCCCCTTGTGCCTCCTGATCAAGGATGTCAAAATTCCTGGCAAACATTAGCCCCACAACACCTTTATGAAGCAGACATTATTACCCCCCATTTTACAGATGCTAAATATCCATGTGACAGAGATGGAAACCCAGACTCCCAGTGCTGTGCTTTTCTGGATGCTGTTTCCTCTCTTTCGGCTTGTGTAAGCTGTTGTTATAATAAAGCACAATATTGAATACGAGGGGTAAAATCCTGGTCCCTTTGAGGTCAATGGCAAAACTTCCGTTCTCTTCAGTGAGGCAGGATTTCACCGCAAGTGACTTCACCCACCTAATCCATGCAATATCCCCTAGAAATGCAATGTGTGAGGTGGCTAGCTGCTATTATGAAACAGAATTTATAAAGAACAGTGAGGAAAATGTACCCACTCAGAGTATGGGGCTCTGAATAGGGTGTGCCACCAACCATAGGTAGTCAGAAAGTTGAATTTATGTCCAGCTCTTGAAAGCCATCATAATCATCTTCCTCACTGTTTGATTGCTCTTGGAGTAATAAACTTTCCAGCTCATCCAGGAGTTTTCAAGGAGTTACATTGTTTGAATATTGAGGCTGGCTCAGGTAAGGTACCAAAATGAGTTGTGAGTTTCATTGTTTACATTGACTGGATTTGTTTGTGAAATACTTTGTCATGGCAGATTGTTGGCTTAAAAATGGAAGTCTGGCCTGCCTAGACTACTCATGGGTAAAGTTAAGTAGGTGTGTGAGTCTCTGCAGGTCTGGAGCCTTAGCCTGCCTTCTGAGAAGGAATTTCTGTGCTAAAGGTGGAAAGCCACAGTTATTTTAATTGTGATTAACCTCTTGAATGCAGAATTTTCTCTGAGCAGTCAGAGCTGTTTAATCTCCACACCTGTTTTTTTTAAACAGGCTTAACTAATAGCCACCGGTCTGTTTGTTATTTTTAGAGCCCCCCAAAATGTGCTGCAGCCTCAGAGAAATGAACGAAGACACTGTCCCTGCTCAGAGGAACATACAGCCTAGATTAGACATGATGCAACAAGGGGGATATAAACAGATGCTAGGCCAGGGCGTGGGGAGGGGCAGAAGAGAGGAAATCAAAGGGAAACAGTGAGGTCAGATGGTTTCTCAGCTCAGTGAGGCATGTGCACATCTTGACGTTTCTGTTCCCCTTTTTCCCCTTTCTTACTTCTTTTAGGTAAGACAGCAGAGATGAAGTGGCAGGGGAGGAGGGGATTTGAATGAGGCGAAGGAGGTGGTTTGAGGACTAGTGTTTAGGAAGGTGCTCCAGGCCCAAAATGGAAGTGGTGAGTTGTTTGCAAATCACAAGTCATGTGCATTTAGGGTGACCAGATGTCCTGATTTTATAGAGACAGTCCCGATTTTTGGGTCTTTTTCTTATATAGGCTCCTATCACCCCCACCCCCTGTCCTGATTATTCACACTTGCTGCCTGGTCCCCCTATGTGCATTGCCCAAGTTTACATGGGAATATTGCACAGAGCTTGCCCACATTATGCAGTCTCATGGTCACTAAAATCACCGAATACACCTGACAGATATTTGAAGAGGTTGCTTTTGGCAAAATACTCAGCTGCCCGCGTGTGAGTTTTTGTACAGTAAAGGGTAAATTAATAGCTGTAGTAGCACCATCTTGTGGAGAGCTTAAATAACATTTAATGCAAGAGATTTTATGTAGAGCAGGTGTTTTAGGATATTGTTTATTGCTAAAAATGTTTGATTTACACGGGGTTTTTTGTGTGCAATAGATGCAAATTGTTCTCAGTAGTGACAAGTTCTTTACACTTTTATACTGTACTGTCTATCTGTCTGTGCACACAATCAAAGGACACCATTCTGATAAGATCAATTTTCTGTTTATTTCATGGAACAGTTAATATCATATGACTTTTTACTTTTAGATGTTCAGGTATGTCATGTTACATAACGTTTACATGCTTATACATATAAACAGAATATTTGTATGTGTTGTACAGAGAAAAAGAGACAAAGAATGACAAGAAAACTGAGAGGAAGTGTATTGTAAAATGCAGTCACTAGAATACTCTGTTCCTGATTTGTCAATGTGTCTGGGTATCTGAGGCAGGAATCAGTCACCAGTTCTATACCAGAGCTCTACCACTGACTTGTTGACATGATGTTGTTTTTCCTCTCATTGAAATTAAAATGCAGTTTTCAAAAGGGTTGGATGAAACTAACCCAGGGTGAGTGTTTTTTCTCATCACTGTAGTTCACCAAAATTATAAAGAAATTGGTCTAGATAAAATGTTTTGTCAGAAAAGTCCAAGTCCTATAATGAAGGGGAATTGTAAGAATTAATTTACAGTGGAAATTAATTTCCTGTTATAGTTTCATTTGAACAGACTACCAGCTTCTGTTTCCTCCATACCTATTATGGTAGCACTCAGTTGGTTAGTTGCCAGGGCTCTGTTGTTCCAGAAATAGATACTCACTCCATAGTAATAGTTTAACTTTTTTACTAGCAAAGTGGTAGCGACTCTGATTACCGGTTAAGTTGGTGTGTGCAGTATATGGATGGGGTGACCACCTGTCCCAAATTGGGTGGGACAGGCCTGAAATGCAGAGTTCAAGTTCCGGTCCGGGGCTGAATGACTCTGGGACAGCATTTGTCCCAGAATCCCTCCGGCACAGCTCTGCACTTTCCCTGAGGCTCAGGGGTGGCACTAGTCTCTTCCGTGGCGGGGGTCTGAGGTGAGCCAGGCAGTAATAAGAGCTGGTCAGGTAGCTTGGGCCGCTGTGGGGAGCCTGGGACTGTCCACCTGCCCTTGGTGGTGTGGCTCGGGGGGGCAGGGACACTGGCTGGGGTCTGGTCTCGGGCACCCCAGCCCCCCATCCAGGGCAGGTGGAGGGTTTGGGGCTCCACACAGTTGCCCGGCTCCTTGGGCTGCTCTTACCATAGCCCGGCTCCAGCCTCTGGCCTGGCCAGGGCCTCTGGGTTGGGTGGGGTCTCAGGGGAAGAGGAGGAGGAGAAGCAGGGGGAGGGGCCACAGCCGGGGGTGCAGGACTCCTGCATATGTCCCGCTTTTGCCTTTTGAAAAGATGGTCGCCCTATATATATGGAATGCACACAGGGAAGGGACAGCTGTCCACAAAAGACCTTGTAGTAATCACTGGGCCAAAGGAATCCCTGTGTGAAACTGAGTCCTGGCACAAGGGTGCAACTGGAGTGCAGAAAGTGCAGTTCTACTCTCCACCATTCTGAAATTCAAGGAATGAATGTCATTCAATATTTGAAGCAGGGCTACATTCTCACATTTAAAGTCTTCGGGTGGGACTTTAATAATTGGTCAGAGTTGCCTCATATTTGCTCCCAGTGCGAGCAAAGTTAGGTCAATGCTGAGTGCATTTGAAAAATCACATGCTATTGTACCTTGCAACCAAAAATGCCTCAGAAGTGAGCTGTATCTAGTTCCCAGCTTCAAATCCTATGCTCAGTCCACTAGGACGCTTTCTTTACTTACAGTAGAAGATTTCTTTTTTCAAAGACATTAATTAAGTGACAAGTCAGAAGTGCAAAGAATTTGAAACGTTGAGCAGCTTGCATTTCATACACATCAGATGAACATAATGGTCATTTATACTATCCTTGCTTTATTGACTCTGATTTTATTTCCCCTATGTACAACACATATAGGAGATACTATTATTCAATTAACATCACTGCTTGCCCTAGGAGAAAGTGATAGTGTTGGTGTGGCCCCTTCTTCCTCCCAAAAAGTTGCCATGCTCCACTTTTCTCCTTACTCTTTTTTCAGCCTGCAGCTGTGAGAAGTGTGTGTGTGTGTGTGTGTGTAGCATAAACTACACCCCCTCCCAGAATTCTTGTATAGATTAAAAGAGTTTAATAATGAATTCTTCTGTTTCATAAATGATAATTTATAACCAAATGCAAAGTGATTCGTAGTAGGCTATAATGCCAGTCTAAGCTGGGAGTCCTGTTAAGATGGCAAAGATTGTTCTAATGGTAACAAAGCATTCTTTTCCTCAGTGGACTTCCGTACTTTACAGAGCCAGTCACAGGGCCGTGGATGCCACATTTTTGCAGTCTCTTTCTTCAGAAGAATGGGACAGCCCCATTCCAGTTGATGGCTGCCCCCTCCCACTTCGTTCTGATTGCCATCTCCACAGAAGGAAATCTCTTTTCTGGGTCACTTTCTTCACAGTGATTCTTTTCCCAATGATGAGAATGAGTGTCTGAAAGAGCAGTGCCCCAAATTCAGTGAAAAAACCCCAGCAATATGAGTCTAATTGCTACAGCTCCATTGGCTGTTTTGTGCAACCGCTGATCAGATTTTAAAATTCCACATTAGAAGCCTAATGGGACTGTGTGGTAATATTCTGCTCTTCTACATGCAGAGCTGGTCTAGAACTGCTAGGCAAATGCAGCTATTGCAGATGAAACTCTAGACTCATGGCAATATGCAGTTTAAATTTAACATAGGTGGCACTGCTTGCTTTCCAACAGTTCATAATTTCAAAGGCGACTATTTTAAATGTTCAGTTTTTGGGGTCAGAATTTCAGAAAGTGAGGCTTGAAGTCTGTGGGCATTACAAGCATATGGGCATGCAACTGGAACGAACTGTTGGTGTAAAAATGGACAAGGACCTCACATCCTAAAAATCTGACCCTAGTTTACAATAGCAGTAATGACCTCTGGGTGGCACACTTCCTGGCAGTTTAAGATCAGCTATGTTAAAGGCCCTTGGGCTCTCAATCCTTCCCCTTGATTATAAATAGGCTGGAGAGGCCCTTTCCATCAGTTATTACTTGATTCTGAACTCAGTGAAATGGTTCAGAATGAAGTCTTGCTTTCCCATGGGTTATTGTGCCAGTCATTAGCTGTTTAGAAAGCTGTTATTGAAAATACATCAAAGTCTGCACCTGCAGCAGCATGCAAAGCTCAGGATATACAGTTTATTAAATCAGAGCAGCCATAACGTCCCCTAGTGGCTTTTAGATAGCAGTGATGGGGCAAAGGGTGGTGGGAAAGCTGCAGGTGGGGTTACAATGTAGTGCATGGAATGAAAGTATAATCGTTGAGTCACAGTTCTAGGGCCCATCCAACCAGAATGGCAGTCCCTGAGCCACCTCCTGCAGATCCAGTTCCCGGCTCCAATAAACTGCTGTACCCCAAAAGACCTAGCCTCAGCGGCGTACAGTGCAGTAGAGTAGCAGCAGACTGGCCATCGTGGCACAGTCTCTTTCTGTACCTATTAGACACAAATGGATGATCTGGCCTATGGGCTGCAACATCATGATGTATCTGTGCCATTGTTTCATTAGGGGAGGACAGTTTTGCGATTAAGTCACTGGACTGGGACTCAGGAGATCTGGATTCAATTCCTAGGTCTGCCATTGACCTTTGGCAGGTAATTTAATCTCTCTGTGCCTCAGTCTCCCATCTGTAAATGTGGATAATAATACTTCCTCTCTTCCACCCTTGTCTATTGAGATTGTGAACTCTGTAGGGCAGGGGCTGTCTCACACTAGGTGTCCGTACAGCACTTGGTACAGTTAGGCCCTGATCTTGGTTGGAGCCTCAAGTCACTACTGTAATACATGTAATAATAATAATGTGATCCCAGTCCTGCATGGTGCTGTGCTCTCAATTCCTGTTAATATTGGTGGGTATCGAGGATGCTCAGCATCTCAGAGGATTCTTGATATTCATATATAGATTCAAAAGTGGTCAATTCTATTGACAATATTCTTAGATATTGGCCCAATAATAGAGCTTCTGCTCAAGAATATTATCCCCACCCAACTGATTATGTCTCTTAAAATCAGCTTTTGATTTGAGCCATCTCTTATGCACTGTTTACTGTATCTTCTACATGAACAGACTAATATTAAACACTGACAGTGATATACATTTAAATACCTTTCTTTGATAAGCTTAAATGCCTACCTACTGTTAGATGTACTGTTTTTTTCTGTGATGGCTGCCCATTATATAAGTAAAGATCAAAGATGTGTTCCATTTTCCAGTCGGATAAGAGCAGCCTGTTTGTGCTGAAAAGAACACTGTATATGCCACTGATGTTGCACAGCCAGATGGGTAATTTAGGAGTCTTTAGCATGCTTCCAACCTGGGGGGGAAAAGGGTATTTCAAACATACTTTCATTATTAATAGGCACTTAATGTCTATGTTGCTTTAAAGGAACATTAGTTTTACTGCTCTGAATACAGAGTTACTAGGAGGTATTACTGTCCATTCCCTCTAGTAATATCTCTGCAGATACCTTTTAATCAGGACATGAGTAAATAAGTCAAGGTGGTATAAATGATATATGTCTCAAGTTGAACTCCAGTGCTGATGAAATCCTCACCTGTGCTTTCATGTCTATTGATTTACAGCAGCTGAGGATCTCACCCACTATGTTTTAGCTTGAGAAGTGCACTTTGCTTTATGGATAGTGTAATAAAAAACCTCCAGTAGATCCTAAGCCTGGGAATACATTTACGGGAATCAGCTTTTAAAAATAACACTGACATAATGGGGTTCCAAATGGTCTAAGAAAGGGTGAGATAATGAATGGGTTGTAGCCAGTTCAACAAATTGTGGACCCAATTCCGCAGTCCTATGTTCATTCTAAAGTGCATTTGTGCAATTGCTACTGAACATTGGTGCTATTCTGTCAGTAGGTCTATGTGGTAATGTAAGCAGCTAACATCAGCATCTGAAAATATAGAAAAGAAACAGTGGTATGATGTGGTGTGACCGTGGAGAGGAAGGTGTATTCAGCGGGGTTTGAAGGGCTGAACGTTGCAACAAGAAAAGTCTTTCTAAAAGTATGTAATCTATTTCTCCCCATGAGTAGCAGTGAACTCTCCCAGTCCAGTATGTTTCCAGGTAGTCTGAGCATTGCATTATCCTCCAGGACCTGCTTCATAATGTCTCTTCATAGAAACCTCAGACCTCTGGGCTAGGTTGTGATCTCAGTTACACAGGTGTAAATATACAGGAACTCTCTTGGGCATAATTCTCATTTCGCTTACTTATATAGGTTTTAGGGCTGTCAATTAATTGCAGTTAACTCATGCAATTAGCTCAAAAAAATTAACTGCAATTAAAAAAATGAATCACGATTAATTGCACTGTTAAACAATAGAATACTAATTGAAATTTATTAAATATTTTGTATGTTTTTCTACATTTTCAAATATATTGATTTCTATTACAACACAATACAAAGTGTACACTGCTCACTTTATATTATTATTTTTTATTACAAATATTTGCACTGTAAAAATGATAAACAAAAGAAATAGTATTTTTCAGTTCACGTCATACAAGTACTGTAGTGCAATCTCTTTATCGTGAAAGTGTAACTTACAAATTTATATATTTTTTTGTTACATAACTGCACTCAGAAACAAAACCATGTCAAAACTTTAGAGCTTACAAATCCACTCAGTCCTACTTCTTGTTCAGCCAATCGCTAAGACAAACAAGTTTGTTTACATTTATGGGAGATACTGCTGACTGCTTCTTATTTACAGTGTCACCTGAAAGTGGGCACAGGTGTTTGCATGGCACTTTTGTAGGTGGTGTTGCAAGATATTTATGTGCTAGATATGCTAAACATTCATATGCCCCTTCATGCTTCGGTCACCATTCCAGAGACATGCTTCCATGCTGATGACGCTCCTTAAAAAAAATAATGCGTTAATTAAATTTGTGACTGAACTCTTTGAGGGAGAATTGTATGCCTCCTCCTCTGTTTTACCCACATTTTGCCATATATTTTGTATTATAGCAGTCTTGGATGGTGATCCAGCACATGTTCGTTTTAAGAACATGTTCACGGCAGATTTGACAAAATGCAAAGAAGGTATCAATGTGAGATTTCTAAGGATAAATGCAGCACTTGACCCAAGGTTTAAGGATCTGAAGTGCCTTCCAAAATCTGAGAGGGAGAAGGTGTGGAGCATGCTTTCAGAAGTCTTAAAAGAGCAACACTCTGCTGCGGAAAATACAGAACCCAAACCACCAAAAAAGGAAATCAGCCTTCTGCTGGTGGCATCTGACTCCGATGATGAAAATGAACATGTGTCAGTCTGCACTGCTTTGGATCGTTATTGAGCAGAACCCGTCATCAGCATGGACGCATGTCCTCTGGAATGGTGGTTGAAGCATGTAGAGACATATGAATCTTTAACGCATCTGGCATGTAGATATCTTGTGACACCGGCTATGACAGTGTCATGCAAACGCCTGTTCTCACTTTCAGGTGACATTGTAAACAGGGAGCAGGAGGCATTATCTCCTGCAAATTGTAACCAGACTTGTTTGTCTGAGCGATTGGCTGAACAAGAAGTAGGACTGCGTGGACTTGTAGCTTCTAAAGTTTTACATTGTTTTATTTTTGAATGCAGTTTTTTTTGTACATAATTCTACATGTGTAAGTTCAACTTTCATGATAAAGAGATTGCACTACAGTACTTGTATTAGGTGAATTGAAATATACTATTTATTTTTTTATAGTGCAAATATTTGTAATAAAAAATAAATATAGTGAGGACTGTCCACTTGGTATTCAGCGTTGTAATTGAAATCAATCTATTTGAAAATGTAGAAAACATCCAAAAATATTTAAATAAATGGTATTCTATTATTAACAGTGCGATTAATTGCTCAATTAATTTTTTAAATCGCTTGACAACCCTAATAGGTTTTATAGTGATGTAACACCACTTAAGTTGCTTTGGATTTATACAGGGGTAAGTGAAATCAGAACGTGCCCCCATAACTTAAAACAGAAAAATAATGGGGGTGCTCTCTAAATCGTATAAAATGTAGTAAATACTGCTGTTACAGAGAACAGGCCAAATTCAGTTCTGGTGTAAGAGGACATAAGTCCATAGACTTCGATGGAGTTGTGTCTGCTTACAACAGGGCTGAATTGGCCTCTCATGAAAGGTCTTGTGTCTCTGTTGGCAGGCTATTGTGAGGATCACTTGGGGAAATGCAAATTTAATGTCTCTGGATGTGGCCTTTGAACCTTGTTTTCATTGCTTTTCCATTAAGTTTGGACTCTGATGTCATATGATATATATTTGGCAGTCTCAGACCAGTGCTTCATCGACAAACAGCTTGCATCCAATGACCATTAACATTAAGTCTGGTGTGTAAAGATGAATTACCAAGGTGAAATGAGATATGACCAATCTAGAGACAGAATAATTCCTCACTTTGAGAACAAAATCTGTCAGGCAGAATTAAGTACTGAAGAAGAAGGAACCCCCTAAACAGTTTATAGACTCTAGTCCTTAGACATATCCATGCAGTAGTTTATTAGGAAAGACAGCTAAGATTAACTCTAGCATTTGATGGTGTAAATAATTCCTCATACATAAAAGAAGAAAAGAAACTTTATGTTTTGCATTATTGTGTATTCTCTCTTGTTTGGGGAAGGGGGAAAGCATCCTATCTAGAAAGATTAATAATGCAAGTCAGCTGAAAAAAGTGAATTGGACAACAATGTCTTGTATGTCAAGTTTGAAATGATCACCATGCTATTGATGTATGTAAGCCTCAAGAGCATGACAATGAGAGTAACACATGTAAGGAAAGAAAGAACAACATGTATTGAGTCTTCTCTGGATAAGTGAAATTAACCCCAGAGGGTCATGTTTGCATTTGTTCTGCATTAACTAGATCTGTGAAAATATTTCAGTCTTAAAAAGGGAACTAATATAAGAAAACCTTGGCTCAGGTCCACAAAGGTATTTAGGATTCCAAATTTGGATCTGGGCCCTAGTAACTCAAGACCTTAAAATAATGTCCCAAGACATTAAAAGACTCTTCAAGCAGCTTAAATCCCATCTTCATAAAGGGCAGACTGTGTTGTTTTAAACTCCTATGGGAGTAGGCAAAAAGCAGATGGAAGTAGCAGTTTCCCAGCATTGACAGTCTAGAAGTGTATTTGAATCTTTAAAGCAAATTGTGACTGACTAAACTTCACAGCACCTCTGGGAGATAGGTAAATCTTATCCTGATGTAAGCAGTGTCAGGATGAGCTCCACCCTGACATTTGGTGGTGAGGTGTGGCACGTTGTGGAAAAGAACTTCAGGGGCCGATCTCATTTGCATAGGCACACCCACCCCGCCTAGAATGAGGCCATAGCTGCCCAAATGGTCACTTTGGCTGCTGTGGGATCCCCAGTGTCTCTGTTATTGGGGCAGGAAGAATAAATTGTTATTACCCTGATTATGGGAACTGTGCTTGGAACTGTACTTGGCCTTTTGTTATGATGGAGGGACTCACCATCAACTAAGTAGCACTCGCTAGGCAAGGGTCATGGGTTTTAAAACTCTGTGAATTGAGAGAGGCTGGGGACAAGTATTAATACTTGGTGGCATGGGCCCCTTGGTGAGGGCCTTTCATGCTAATTGCACTTTCTCCTCTCTCCACTATGGAATATCAGAGCTAATTTTGATTCCATTAGGAGTCTAGTTACAGGCTGCTGAGCTCACTTTGGGCTAATGATGTACCAGCACTGAGGCTCCCCTACTACAAGCTGAATTCACCAAAGAGCTGAACTGACTAAGATTTCAGTGAACTGAAATCACTGAGCGTTGTGTTAAGTAGTGGGGGAGCCTGAAGATATATTGTGGAGCAGTTTGTGGGACGGCTGGAGTGCCTTGTGGACAGGCTGGTGGAGCAGTTCGTAGGACGGCGGGAGCTGCTGGTGGGACGCGGAGCAGTTTGTGGACCGGCTGGTGGAGCACGGAGCGGAGCTGAGTGAAGGAGTTCGTGGGGCGGCTGGCAGAGCGAAGCGAAGGCCTATGGAGCTGTGGGGTGGTCAGCTTCAGATCATGTAAGGTGCCTCTTACCCCCGTCCCATCTCCACCCAGGTTGGGAGGTAAAGCTCCGCAGATAAACTTTCAAACTCTGGGGCTGCCCTGACCAGGGACAGAGACTTTTGGGTCATTGGACTTTTGGGACTTTGGGTGATTTGGGGTTGCTGGACTCAAGAACCAAAGGGAAAGGGGCATGCCCCAATTTGCTTGGGGTGGGTTTTTTTGCTCATGGGTTGTGTTATGAATCCTGTTGGTGGTGTTTCCCCAACATAATGCCACATTGTTTCTCTCTGTTATTAAAAGGCTTTTTGCTACACTCAGACTATGTGCTTGCGAGAGGGGAAGTATTGCCTCTTGGAGGCACCCAGCGGGGGTGGTATATATTTGTCCCAGGTCACTGGGTGGGGGCTCGAGCCGGTTTGCATTGTGTTATTGGAATGGATCCCCTAGATATTGAACCCGGCCCTTATTGCTGCCAACTCTGACGGGCAGAAGGGTTACACTTATTTTACAGAAAGGAAAACAGAGGCATTGACAGGGTATTTGAACTGCCCCAAAGCCACACAAGTCAGTAGCAAAGCCAGGGATTAGAACCCAGAGAATCATGACTCTCAGTCATGAACACCATCCATCAGACCACACTGCCCTTCTTTACATATACATCAGAGTGTTTCATTGTCTTCATTCTTTCCATCAGCGATACTTTCACTCTTCAGCCAATTTTATTACTGTGTTTGATGTGTTACTCTGAGGGCTGTAGCTTTGAAGCCCTGGAGTTTGCAAGGCAACACATTGAGTACTGGGGTTGTTCTCCTATGGCCTGAACAAGGGTGCTGGAAAACCCTTAGGGAACAAAGGAAAAGAATAGGGAGCACTGGAAACTATACAGCAGCTCCTCGGATCTGCTGGTGGTGTAGGCACGTGAGCAAAGTGTGGTTGTTTTAGCCATCTAAGTGGAAGCTCCTGTGATGCAGCAGGCCAGGGATTGGACAAAAGGAGGGGGCAGGAGTGTGCCTTAAAGGTTCAGCATATGGGCATCTAGCGGTGGGGATTGAGTATGGAAGGCGGGTGGGAAAGTGTGGGAGCTGTAGACTGAGAATGTGTGTGTCTGTGTCCAGCAGTAACTGTAAATGTGTGGCCATCCATTGCCCTTCTGCATTGGCAGTGAGTGGAGTGTGACTTATACAATGAGAATGTGTGTGTGTGTAGACCTGGCTAACTGGGGCTGGCTGCATTTTGGCTTAATGCAGACATTGTCAGCTTTAGTTCAGATGGCTTTCTACAAATGTATTTCCATGTTTTCTTTGCATGATCCTCCTTTTCCCCCGGTCCCTCCTCCCACTGACTCCACCTACTTTCTACCCAGCTACACTCAGATTATGTGCCTATGATCTGTTTTTATGCTAGTTTTGTGTGTGTCACTGTTGGCACGTTTTAGCTGCATGGCAGGGTGGCATTGAGACAACAACCCTGTAATTACCTAGCCTTCAGATGCTTTACTTCATCACTTATTGCCTATTCCCTTATTCCACTGCCTTTTTCCAATGCCATGATGTGGCCCCCACCCTCAGTAACCGTTGTGCTTTCATTATATTGCCCAACAGGAACCTTTCTAAGACGGTTTGCAGGTTTCACATGATTTGTCTTCATTAGTATTTTATCTTGAGTTACCTAACTCAAATTAAGAACACGCTTTATTTTTTGCAGTGAAGATAAGCTCCCAGTCTACAGAGGCTAAATGAAATTTAAGGGGAAAGCTGATGATATATAGTGCACTCACTGTAATAATCTGAAGCCAGGGGAACTGAGCATAGGCGTGTCAGTGCAGCTCAGTGATTTGCATACGCTCTCACCTGGAAGGGTCTGTAACGCTCCACTTCCTCCTTGTTCCAGTGTAAATAGCCCACATCACTGCGGGCCAGGACTCCATGCAATAGTTCTTGCACTCCACCTTCACTGTCAAATTTCTGGAACCCATTAAATACATGTGGACTTGCTCTGCCTGTTAAAATGACGTTGAGAATTGCCTAGAGGGGAAATGACCTACAATTACACTTTCAGGCAGCGGAGCAGAAACTACGCTCTAGAATTCCTTGCTATTGTTCATCTTTCCTATAGCTCCTTTTTTTTCTCTATATAGAGTAGGTGGCACAAAAGCATGATTTCATACACATCGGTCTTAGGCATTTTCAGGACACCTGTCACCCTGGTATCTACATGCCAATAATAGTACTTGCCATTACATAGAGACTTCCAGATGTCACTTCCCTGTGACAAAGATAAGTATTATGAACTCCGTTTTACAGATGGGGAAACTGGCGCAGAGAGGTTAAGCGACTTTCCCATGGCCACATCGTGAGTCAGTGGCATAGCCAGGACTAGAACTCAGAAGCGTTGCCTCTGAACCCAGGCTCATTCTGCTAGACCATGCTTGTGTTGATGGAAGTTTCAAAACTGTATAATCAGTAGTAAAAACCCCATTGTGTCTATGGGAATGTGAGGATGGATTCATTATATTAATTAATGAAAAGATGGGCGGGCAGCAAAACCAAACTCCGATTTCTGCTTACAACAGGTTGCCATCCATTACTTCACCAGGATGTGCTTGCTATTAAAGACAACTTCTGTTCTCTTCTCATTTCCACTTGTTTTGCAAGCATCCTCAGAGAGGAAAAGCAATTGCTATGATTCTGAACCCTAGGCACTTAAATCTTGCTTGTCACTGATGTCTCCCACAAATAATTGCATACGTGCTGAAACTAGGGGTGCTGCAGCACTCCCTGGCTTGAAGTGGTTTCCATTATATACAGGGTTTACAGTTTGGTTCAATGGGCTCTCAGCACCTCCACTATAAAAACTATTCCAGCATCCCTGAATAACTGAGGTTTATTTTATGCTGCACAAGCACATATATCTATTTGCTTCCCCCTAACACCTGCTTGTACTTCTGTATTATCCTTTAGTGTGCCTTGAAGATAGACCTAGGTAGGCGATCTGTACCTTCTGATGCCTTTTGATTCAAGTAACTAGAAGCGGGAAAATATTTGCATTTACATTTGTAATGCTTGCCATGTGAGCATTTTTGCATTTTGTCAAAAATCCAAAACTGGCCCTATTTTTGAAAAAATACCAAACTAAAACAAGCTCACTATCATGTGAACCTTTTTAATTTTGCATGTTTTTAGACTTAATTTCCTGTTTTTATGATCTTTTGCCCCCAAAGCCACATAATTTTCAGAGGTGGAAAAATACCTAATGAAGCCACCATAGCAGATGTCAGGAGAATGCCTGAAGCTTTACACAGCCCAGCAATGCCCTTGGCAATAAAACACAGCATTTTGCGACAGTAAAAACCATAATGATGGCTCTCAATCCTCATTGTCATTTCTGGATATAGACATCCAGCACACAGTAATCTGCTTTTCTTCTCTGCAAATAATAGATGCCAGATCCTTAGCTGGTGGAAACTCATGTTACATCCATTGAATGAGGATCTGTCCCATAACCCTTTATGGCCTAACATTTGCCTTTTAGCAGAACATAGTAAAAGTTATGACTGTTTTTCTACCTCAGCCACCAAATGATGTAGGAAATCATCTTCATCATGGGTAACATTAGTGATTCAAATTCTGGGAGACCAACAGTCAGCTATGGTAGGTGTATGAACCATGAACAGTAAAAATCATCTGTTTGATAGGACTTGTAGAGGCTGACGCAAATAGTTTTTGAGTGGGGTGGGATGGGGATATCTACTGGGCCTACTCTTTGCTGCCTGGTTTGTTCTGTTTTCTCATTGTATTTTGGTGTGTGGTGATATTTTTTGAGACTACAAGTTTAGTTGTGGCCAGGACATCTAGAGTTTGTGTACAGATGTTCTTTTTTATATTTTAAATGGAAAGTAAGAAATCATAAAAATATTTTTGTAATTGGGAAGACCTTGATGGATTCTTTCTGAAATTGAAAAGACTAGAAGCAATAATGGAAATTGACCTAAAATGCGTACACTAATGTTAAGACGGTCAATTAGGAGAGCACGATTCTAAAGTGTCAGAAATACCTTTTGACCATATTTGGAAGTGGAACCATTTACCTTTAGGGGGGTCTTATTAAGAATTGTGAATATTAGGTAAACTGATTACACATATTTTACAAGAACCATTCAGGAAAAAATCACATAGTCCTACCTGTCTACAGATGAAGTTTCCAAGACTGAATTGTAACAGATGAGATGTTGTGAAGTCTAGATCTTTTTGGAGCCTGTGCAACCAAAAACAAAGTATTATTGTGGTGTCAGCTGAATGATAGGAATGACTCTGTACATCAGTGTATGATTGTCAAGAAAAATTAAAGTGGCAATATGTTCCTCAGGATTCTTTTGTTTTTCTTTATTACAGGCAAGGCAGTGGTGATTGAGCTATACTTTTATTTATAAACCCAGGTTTAACTTTTATTTGAGTTGGATCTGAGATGCAAAATTCAAATTTAGACCCAGACCCAAACTTTCCCAAAATGTATGTATGTTTGGTTCACAAGGTTTGGTTCCGGGTGGTCTTTAGCATTTTCTGGTAACTATTATTAACAATTCTAATACCTATCTTTAGGAATTGAACTGAAATGTTCGTGGGTAACATTTTGAAAAGTGCCTAAGACCTGGTCTACTCACCTATTTTGTATGGCTATATCTATTTTTGTTAGGGGTATAATTTTTTTAAAACTAAAATACTGATACAACTCTGGTGTGGATGCAGTAATATTGGTATAAAAGTGCCTTATATCAATACAACTTATTCCCTATCCCACATAGGAATAACTATACTAGTATAAAGCACCTTTACACCAATACAATTGCATCCATTCTTAGGGTGGGGATAGAGGTTGTGCCACTTACCTTTATTAGTATAGTTAGAGTGATAATTTTTGAGTGTATACAAACCCCTTAGTGATTTAGGTGTCTAAGTCCCATTGACTTTCAGTCACTGTCACCACTATCTATGTGATAAGAGTTGGTACAATACAGGTATAATTTGGCTTCCCTCTCCTAATTCCTCCCAGTGTCATGAGGAAAGAGACCACTTCATATGATATTGCTAAACATGTATAGAAGGTTTTAAAAAAAGACATAATTTACCTTTCCAATGTCCTAGAGAAAAGCAAGCTGTATAGAAATAAGATCACACCATGGCTTCCTTCACCTTTGAACTGATAAAAAAACAATAAAGAAGGAATTATGGCAGTTACCCATGATTGGTTGAGATACCCCTTCTGTTAACTCTTCAGATTTGTATCCCTTGCGCCTTTTGCTACAATCTTAGATGAAAATACTGGACCAAATGCATGAGCTGCTACTGCAGTCAATGGGAGCTTTGCCACTGACTTATTAATCACAGTAGGATCAGGTCAAAAGGGGTGATAGCAATCTTTCATATCATTTCTATTATTTCATAGAACAAACTACAGTCCTATTTGTTGTTTTCTTTGTATGCAGATTTTAACAAATGATTTTAGTGACTTTACAATTTTTTTGTATTTTTACAAACCACTTTTTCATTAACATAAAATTTAGCTCCTGATTACATAGAGTGGAGTATCCTGATCCCATTGAAGTCACTGGCCAAACTCCCATTACTTTCACTGAGAGCAGGATCAAGCCGCGTAATGTATTGTTCTAATTTCCTGTAGTGAAAATCAGAAATGATTCATGACATGTTCATTAAGTTTCTGAAGATCACATTAAATATGATGTTATAAGCAAGATCAGTTTTTATACGAGAAATAGAATGGGTGGGAAGCAGCAAAATAACTCAACATAAGAAATTGCTTATTCCTCACTTACACATTGTATATGATCACAGATAAATTTCTGAGCTGCTTCTTTCTCAAAAAATTCAAACAGCTGGAGCTGTAAGTCAGGAACATAAGAAAAAATAGAACAGAAGACATTAATTATATCCAAAAGTGGAGTTTTCAACCCACTGTTGTATTTCTTTCAGACAAACAAAAGAATAATATAGGAATCTAATCTGACTCTGCCTGAACTAAGGCATTCAATTATATACAGGAAAACTAAATAAATAGTTATAAAGTTAACATGTTTGCCCTTTTAGGAGGGTGGGAGAAATCATAGTTGTTAATCAAAAATAATTATAGCCTCTGGATTCATATAAAGAGATAGAAATACCTTTCAGAGCTCCAGCTGTGACATGGATCTTAAAGTGCTTATAATTTGTAATGTATCATAAGGTAGGGCACGGGTTTTATGAGATTTTATATTTGTCTTTAAAAAAAAAACCCACTTTTTTCTGCAAATCTTGTTTATAACAGGTACTGTATTTTCTTACTTACTCTTTCAGTCAAGTTATCTATTTTGTAGTCTATATTGGGTGTAAAATAAGTATCAGTGGTGACAAGACATACAATGGCTTTCCGACATTCCCCTGCTGTCCACAGAATATCTCCCAGAGATTCTGCAAGAGCGTTTTCTTGTTCTGTTTGGCTCATTTCACATAAACTGTAATGCAGGACACAAAAGAATATGAAAGGCATGGCAATGGCCGATGAAACTACCACAGGAAAATTCTAAGGCATTGTGTACGCTCAGGGACATCCCTGATTCAGCACTCTGTGCTGGCATCTAAACATAGACAGTGCCATACTGGGCTTTGTATCAAATGAGCTAAAGGACCGGCACAAACGCAGCTACACCAACTGCTGGCAATTGTTTGCTGAATCAGGGCTGTGCCTGAGGATAGCCAAGGTTGTCACGAACATTATGGTGTTGAAGGGTTTTCTTATTATTATAAACGAGTGCCCTGTGTTCTGACATGATTTGGTCTTTCCTGTGTTAGAACCATTTTATAAGCATGCTACAGAATTATGATACAGTTCAATGAAGGTTAGGGTTCTAATATTCATTCTCTAACCTGGGTTGCCTCTGTCTGCGAGGGGTGAGACCACGATGTGTTATGATATGGTCAGGATACTATATCATGTAATAACCTGATCCCTGACACAATAAAATATGTATGTAGATCGGCCTTAGTTGACAACCAAATTCTATCCCCACAGTAAAACCTGTGAGAGGAGGCCAGAGGACCTTGAAGTGTTTCTGGCAGATGATCCTCTCATGGGGATGAGCTTAGAGGGTTGGAGGAGGCCAGAGTATGAAAACGATAGCACTGAGGTACCTGCTTCTCTGCAGCACTGCCTCTGCCCCTCCCTAGAATCATGCTGCCATTGGCTGTCCATGTCACAGGCAATTTTGTAAGTTAGTGCTATTAGCAGCTGCATTAGCTCCTGCCTGGTTATCTGCCGCTGTTAAAGGGGGATGGGGAGCATGGCTGGAAGAGGTTTTAGGAGCTCTGAGAAGGAGGACCTTGTCACACTGGCTTCCAGCCCTTCAGATGCGTTCCCACTCAACTTTAGTGTATTAGCTCCCCTCCAAGCCTCACTGAGAGGGGTTTAAAAGTTTCTGTTAGATCTTTGCTCATGTTTTTGTCTCTCTCCTTTGGTTTCTCTGAGGGTGTTATTGAAGACTGTCACTGCCAGAGAAAGGAAGATCTGCCTTTATAGCAAGTGCAGCTTTACAGAGCTATCCTGATTACCCTGTTTGCCCTATCACCTGAACTAGGGCTAAGCAAGTTCCTGTTAAATCCTGCCTGATCTCTCTGAACCTTGGGCTGCTTTTTGTGGGTTTCAGTGCTGCATGGCATAACCTATAAAGAATTAGGGCCTGGTCCCATTGACAGCAATGAGGTTTTTTGGTTCATCAGGAAAAGGATTGGGTTATTGGTTTGACCATATTCTTGTTGATTTACTTTCTAAATAACACATTATATGAGCCATTGAGTTATTTTCAAATAGTGTTTAGTGCAGGCAAATAGTATTTTTGGCCTGCAGGCCACTTCTGGGTATAAAAATTGTATGGTGGGCCATGAATGCTGCAAATTGGGGGTTGGGGTGTGGGAGGGGATGAGGCCTTTGGCTGGGGGTGTGGGCTCTGGGATGGGGCTGGAGATGAGGGGTTCGGGGTACAGGAGGGTGCTCCAGGCTGGGACTGAGGGGTTCGGAGGGTGGTAGGGGGATCAGGGATGGGGCTCAGGATGGCAGGCTCCAGGCAGCGCTTACCTCAAGGAGCTCCCGAAAGCAGTGGCATGTCCCTCCTCTGGCTCATACGCGGTGGTGTGGCCAGGCAGCTCTGCACGCTGCCCCATCTGCAGGTGCCACCGCCGCAGCTCCCAGAAGCAGCAGCATGCCCATGGACGGCTCCTACGCGGAGGCATGGTGCTGGCCATGCAGTTCTGGACTCTGCCCCATCCACAGGTGCTGCCTCTGCAGCTCCCATTGGCCATGCTTGGCGTGGGGGCAGTGTGTTGTGAGCCCCCTGTCTGCCCGTACATGTAGGAGCTGGAGGGGGGACATGCTGCTGCTTCCGGGAGCCGAATGGCAAGCTCCTGACCCAGCTCCCAGGCTGGAACACTGGAGCGGGTCAAGCCCTTGACCCCACTCCCTGGCAGGAGCTCAAGGGCAAATTAAAAGGCCTTATGGGCTGGGTGCGGCCGTATTTGCCCACCCCCGATTTAGTGGTTTTGTGGCTGTCATAGTGAAATACTTGTCAACCCACATAGCCTGGTTCTCAGCTCCTTGACACCAGTGTAACTCTATTGATTTCAATGGAGGTCCTCCTGATTTACACCAGTGTGAGGAAAGAATCAGGCCCATGAACTCCATGTGTCACAGCCTCAGCTAGTGTAGAGTTAAGCCAGTTTACACCAGATGAAAATCTAGACCGATGTGGTTACTCAGATTTTGGATCCATCAAGGAAGATATCACATTGGAAACTGGAAGGATTTGCTAAGAAAGGAGCTGCAGCAAAAACGGTTAAATTTTTTCCTTTAAAACACCGGTGAATTCCTATTACAATATATTCAGCCAATTAGCCAGCCTGAACCCCAAATCTGGCTCTTTACCAAACAGTGCAGTCAGCACATGCATTTGTTATCATTAAGAAGGACCACACGTGCAGAGAGGGATAGCACCTGTGTTTTCAGGGCTTTCATTCATTTTAGCGCTATCACATTGGTGTCCTTTGCAATGACTGCTGACCCCTGCCTTCTCCTTTCAAACACTGACAAAGAATGTGCTTGAGATCAGGGGAGGGTTTTTAATTTCAGTTGCCAGTACAAAGGCCGGCCATGCAGCATGGAAATTGTCCATAAGTTCTGGTCACCACAACTCAAAATGGGCCAAACAAGCAAGTCCCTTGGCCATAAAACTAAAAGATTTCTGAGAGAAAAATCTATAGCAAATGGACCAGATTCTGCTCTTCACGCTTGGATTTGCAGAAGCATAATGGAGAGTAGACTCTGTCTCTGTATAACACATAGGACAACACTAATCTTTCTGTTTATGTCCAAATAATTTAAGTAATTCGTATTTTTTTGTGGGAAAGTACATTTTCTTACCCTTGGAGGGGAATATTTTCCTCTCTATTTCTTACGAACAAGCAGTATTTAATGATGTACACCTGTACAGCCATCAGAATTGCTCTTGCTCCCCCCTAGAAAAATTTCAGAGAGTTAAAAAACCGTAAAAGACCAACCTCCTGCCCCATATACTAGTGGAACCAAACTACAATGCGCTGTGTGGATTTTATGCTAATTCCAGCTGTCTCTGACCAAAGTTTTAGCTTTCAAATACCAGTGTCAGTAACTTGTCCAGCCTGTCTGAGACTCTAAAATGGCCACCATGCTACTGACAGCTCTGGAGATAAATGGAAAAGTAAGTAGAGAGAGGGCTTATGAGCCTAAAATTAGGAAATCACTACCCAAGAAAGGGCACAATTTTGACCCTGCTAGATGCCTATGCTGGGAAGATGTCCCCTTTACTCCTTTATGCTGGCTACAGCTATCTGTATGGTGCAACATGGGGAGAGAGCAGCTGCTGCCCAGTCACTACTTGTCATCCTGTGCAGTGGGCATGCAGGGGCAGAGCGTAGGTGGAGCCTTGAGTAGCTAGCACAGCAGTCTGCTCTAGATATAGGACAGGTTCAGGTTGCATCTGGCTACTTTCTCCCCCTCCCCAACAGAGTCCCAGAGCACCAGAGGGACCAGATTCTCTGAATTGCAATCTGATTCCTGATCTGCTTCTAGAGTAACACAAATAGCTCCTGACCCAGGGCTCATTGCAAAGTCCAACTAAGGCCTAAATTAATAAATTAAGCAGTAGCAGACCCTTCAAGATTAGAAAGTTTTGGCCGGACTAGCTAAAAGTTTTTCAGTGAGGTTAAATGGAATTGCTAGAAAGAATTGCTACATAAATAGTAGATTGTGGACATTCACAACATTAATTGCTTACTGCCGTCGTCTTGCTTTACTTTTAAGGCCCTGACCCAGCAAAGCACTTAGCATGTGTGTAACTTTAAGCACCTTAAAAAGAACAGGAGTAGTTGTGGCACCTTAGAGACTAACAAATTTATTAGAGCATAAGCTTTCATGGGCTACAGCCCACTTCATCGGATGCATAGAACACCCTTACTCTACTTGCGCTACATTGATGACATCTTCATCATCTGGACCCATGGAAAAGAAGCCCTTGAGGAATTCCACCATGATTTCAACAGTTTCCATCCCACCATCAACCTCAGCCTGGACCAGTCCACACAAGAGATCCACTTCCTGGATACTACAGTGCCAATATGCGATGGTCACATAAACACCACCCTATACCAGAAACCTACTGACCGCTATACTTACCTACATGCCTCCAGCTTCCATCCAGGACACACCACATGATCCATTGTCTACAGCCAAGCTCTAAGATACAACCGCATTTGCTCCAATCTCTCAGACAGAGACAAACACCTTCAAGATCTCTATCAAGCGTTCTTAAAACTACAATACCCACCTGCTGAAGTGAAAAAACAGATTGACAGAGCCAGAAGAGTACCCAAAAGTCACCTACTACAGGACAGGCCCCACAAAGAAAATAACAGAACACCACTAGCTGTCACCTTCAGCCCCCAACTAAAACCTCTCCAGCACATCATTACAGATTTACAACCTATCATGAAAAATGATCCATCACTCTCACAGATCTTGGGAGACAGACCAGTCCTCGCTTACAGACAGCCCCCCCAACCTGAAGCAAATACTTTCCAGCAACCACACAACAAAAACACTACCCAGGAACCTATCCTTGCAACAAAGCCTGATGCCAACCCTGTCCACATATTTATTCAAGTGACATCATCATAGGACCTAATCACGTTAGCCACGTCATCAGGGGCTCGTTCTCCTGCACATCTACCAATGTGATATATGCCATCATGTGCCAGCAATGCCCCTCTGCCATGTACATTGGCCAAACAGGACAGTCTCTACGCAAAAAAATAAATGGACACAAATCTGACATCAGAAATCATAACATTCAAAAACCGGTAGGAGAACACTTCAACCTCTCTGGCCACTCAGTAAAAGATTTAAGGGTGGCAATTTTGCAACAGAAAAGCTTCAAAAACAGACTCCAGGGAGAAACTGCTGAGCTTGAATTAATATGCAAACTAGATACCATTAACTTGGGTTTGAATAAAGACTGGGAGTGGCTGGGTCATTACATATGTTGAATCTATTGCCCTAAAGTTAAGTATCCTCACACCTTCTTGTCAACTGTCTAAATGGGCCACCTTGATTATCACTACAAAAGTTTTTTTCTCCTGCTGATAATAGCTCATCTTAACTAATTAGCCTCTCACAGTTTGTATGGCAACTTCCAACTTATCTGTATGTATATATATCTTCTTACTCTATGTTCCATTCTATGCATCTGATGAAGTGGGCTGTAGCCCACGAAAGCTTACGCTCTAATAAATTTGTTAGTCTCTAAGGTGCCACAAGTACTCCTGTTCTTCTTGCAGATACAGACTAACACGGCTGCTACTCTGAAACCTGTCTTTAAGCACCTCAGTAATTACATTGAAGTTACATTGGGACTGCTCATGTTTTCAAACGTAGGTACATGCCTGCTGGATTAAAGTGAAATGTGATCACATTTGTTCCTTATGTGGATCTAGAAACATGTTGGGGCTTTCCTTATGGGACATATTTTGAATTGCCGTTGGGGAGCATGCATATGATTTGAAGTCCTCTACAGTGCATTTCATGGAGAAAAACAACAAAAATAGTGTACGGCTATTTAAAGGATGATTAAAATGTTTAAAAGAAGTTGGAAATACAGACCTGAGGATTGACTCTATGGACTAGGAAATGACAGAAATCATGAGAAAAACTGTCTAGAGAGGGGACTGGATGAGGAAATCTGAAGGGACTGGATTGAAGAAACAAGTTTTATAAATAGGAGACGGTAAATGAACAGAGGAATCTGAACACCAGCAAAACAGAGCTGGTAAATCAGTGCAAAATAACAATACCAACAAAAGAAGAGCAATAGTAATCATATCTGGACAGTTATTACAGAGAAAAACAAAACCTTGAAGAAGCAAGACAAAAGAAACAGGAAGGAAAATCCCACTGCTAGATAGAGGAGTAAACTGAAGAGTTCTCTAAATGGTTAGATTCCTGTGTGCAGTTTCACTGCCTAAAGGAAGAACAGAGCACTTCATTACAAATCTCCTGGAAATCTCTAAATTAAAGAGTCCGCCAAAGGCATGAAAGGGGAAAAGTGCAGAAATGTCTCAAACTCTATTTCAGACCATTACTTCTAGTACTATTATAAATAAATCCTCTCTCTTTTTGGTATTTATAGCCTTTAGATATTTGCAGACTGCTTTGTCCCCCTCAGTCATTGCTTAGCCATGCAATATATTCAACTCTTGTAATCTCTCCTCATAAATCATTCTCTCCAGACCCATAATTATCACCTCTGAGCACATTCGAATTTGTCCATATTTCTGGTATTTAGATGCCTGGAATAGAGCACAGTGTTCAGGTGTGATCATGCAGAATTAGAGTCCAGTAAAATTAGAGTACATTTGCAAATCCCCGCAGTTCACTCTGTGATACTGAAAATACATGGTCAGTCATTACATAAAAAAAATTTACCTTTTCTGCCTCCAAAGCATAGGATAGATCAGAATATGGAGCGTGGAACTTGAAACATGATTTTTTCCATTCATAGCTGAAGACGTGGAATGTGTTTCCAAATAACATTTTTCGGAGCCCCTTAACATGAGAGGAATAAAGATAGAATGGGTCAGATTCTCATTTACACTAGGGCCAATTTACACCACTTTGGCAATGTAGAGGGGCCTTCAAGTAGGAGTAAATTACATTTACATTCACTTTCAGGCACCTTCCTTCACATTGCCAGCGCACTGTAAAGTGGTCATAGGGTGCATCTACATTTGAGCTGGGAGATGTAATTAATTCCCAGCTTGCTTACATGTGCCTGTGCCTAAAAATAGCAGAGCGTCCCGCATGGCAGAGGCAGGGGCGTGGCTAGATGCCTGAGTACATACCCAAAGGGCTAGGTGGGATTGTACTTGGGAGAGGGGGAGCCGCCACCAATGACACTGTGCTATTTTTAGGTGCAAGCTTGAGCAGAACTAGCATGGGTACATCTCTGCAAGCTGGGAATTGCACTTCCCAGCTCAAATATAGATGTACCCTTCGTGAGAAGCAGGCCCTATGACATGAAAGGAAAGGAAGCATTTTTGGTTAGTCACGATGACTTATTTCAGGTCTCAATTACAATAAAATATAGCTCTAGGTTGAATTATTAATTTTAGGTTATAGCACCTAGTTAAAAGGAATCCACTTTTTCAGATTTGCTGTTGCTCTTTTGTGTAATTCCAGGAATGAAAGTCTGGACCCACTGAAGTCAGTGGTAAAAATCCCATTGAGTTAAATGGGGCCAGGACTTCACCCCAGAGATGCAAAGGGGCCATAAAACTGGCTTAACTGGCTGCTTGGGAAGTCTCCTGTGTAAGGCGAAGCATAGAACTGGTGTGGCTGTTCACTCTCCCTAGTGGAATGCCTTCATCTCTTTAGTCCTACTCACATGAGTGAAGCCATGTATATACGTGTTTACCCATTCAAAATGGATAAAAAGCCACTGTGCACCGATCACTTATTGTGCTGCACTTCTAGTCAGAAAACACTTAATGGGAACACCTGCCTGTGGTGTTCACCTCGTGAGAGCGTGGCATAGAAAAAAGAAGCTTGGTTTAGCCGAAAGAGAGCACGTTCCCCATACCAGTCAGAGTAGGGTGTTCCTGGGCAAACATCATGAGTCCCTCTGTGCACAGCCTCTGCTTAAGCTACTCCACGTCAGAGATGGAATGATTTATGCACACAGGCTGTTGTATCCAGTGTGGAGAGATTCATTTGAAGTCAGTGCGACTACTCATGTAAGCAAAGTCATTCATATACATGAGTCTTTGCAGGACTTGACCCTTACTATCTATTTTGTAAAAAGGAAAGGAGGACTTGTGGCACCTTAGAGACTCACCAATTTATTTGAGCATAAGCTTTCGTGAGCTACAGGTGAGCTCTAGCTCACGAAAGCTTATGCTCAAATAAATTTGTTGGTCTCTAAGGTGCCACAAGTACTCCTTTTCTTTTTGCGGATACAGACTAACACGGCTGCTATTCTGAAACCTGTCTCTGTTTTGTGTGTGTTCACCAATGCAGTTCTCGTGTCAGAATTTTACCCTTAGTGTTAAATGCCTGAGCTTTATGTTACATGGGTGTTTTACATTAATAGATAACTGGGATTTTTATTGATCCTTACAGCCCGTAGGCACCAAAGACCAATTCTGCAAGTTCCCCATCTTCAAAAATCCCATTGAAGTCATTGGAGACTCTGCATATGGCAGGATCATGCCCCAAAATATTTAGTGACTTAAAAAACTAGCCTTTCGGATAAGGGAAGAATGTTAACCTAATCTCCTGAATTTATGACCAGTGTTCTGACACGTAGGCCAGTGGTTCTCAAAGTGTGGAGTTCCCCCCACAGGGGAACGTGGAGGAACATGTAGGGGGCACATGGGGCTGGAGCCAGCCTCCACAGGGAGCAGGGAGGGAGCTCCATGCTTCCAGCGCCGCTCCATCCTCACACCAGCTCTGCCTTCAACCCTGTTCAGCCCCGAGTCCTGCTCCACCTCCAGGTCCAGCTCCATCCTCGCTCCCTCTCTGCCCCCACGTGAGCTCCGACCCAAGTCACAGCTCCACTCCTCTCCAAGACTAGGTCTGAGCCCAGCTGCAGCTCCACTGCGCTTCCTGCTCAGGCCCCAGCCTGGCTCTGCCTCTTGCTCCAGCTCCTCTCCCATCCCCAGTTCTGCCCCCAGCTCCATCTTCAGCTCAAGCTCTGCTGCTGAGGAAGCTTTGGCTGTGCAGTAATGGAGGGGTGTGTGTGTAGACAAATTCCATTGCTGGTAATGGGAGGAGGGTGTGACTGGAAAATTTTAAGCACCACTGCACTAGGCAACAAAAATATCAAATAGCAAAGAAACAATATCCTTTATTATTTGTCATAGTACCTGATAAACATTGTATTATATCAGTTTTGTGGCTTGTACAGCAACTGTGTTCTTTAAAAGCATAATAAATAAATAAATAAATAAATTTATATTCTTCTTATATCAATATCAACAAACTGCACCCTTGAATCCAATAATAATCTAATCCTCATATAACACCAGATAAATTCCCAGGTCTTTCTTGATTTGGTGAGGTTAAATTACAGCTCATGCTTAATTGACAAGATCTGCTTACCACTGCCATTTCTAGGGAGATAGGCAGGCCGCCCAGGTTTGACGAGACTGTAAGCGGTTTGGGGATTAAGAAAGGGATAGTGGATAGAAACTGTCCCTGCTTTTTGGAACTTCTAAACTGAGATGCTTCCATTCCATCCTTGTTGTCATAATCAGATTTGTGATTGTCTTGGTATTTCTATAGAGAGAAATGAACAGGACTTGTATATTCTTTCAGCTGCAGGAGTTAGAAGCTAGCTTATTCCTATGCTTGGTCCTACTAAGTTATTTCCTTCCCCCATACCCCCCAGCGTCCTTTTTTCGTAACAACATGGACATGATGAAGTTAAAGTTATTTTAAAAAGTGGTAAAAGATTAAGAATACATATTCTTTGTCATATAATTCCAGATAGTTAAAAGGAAACTATAAAATATACACTGATGTTCTAGATTTGAAATAATACAGCAATATATTTAAAGAGACAGACTGACATGTAATTCTGCAACACTGCTCAAATGGTGCAGTTTTTGTAATAACTGTATAGTTATCTTTCTAAAGGCGGTTTCAAGCCACATAATTCCTAAAATTTTCTGTTTATTGCATTGTGGAAACTAACACACACATAAAATCACTTTCAAGAGTCAAATTCCCAACAAGGTCGGACATTTCTATTTTTGCGGTTGGGAAAGGAATAAAACAAATACTTTTCTACTTACTATTTGGCTTTTCTTTACCTCTTCCTGCAGTATTTCAGTATAACTTAACTTTGAATCTACTCGTCTTTTGACTTGCTGTACTTTTGGACCGATGTCCATAGTTTGCCAGTGTAATGAAAGCAGTTACAGGAGAAGTTACCCAGTGACAGCTGAACCTTGGAAAAGAGAATTGCCTTCCTAGCTGTCTGGATTACCAGAGAACAGGAGAAGATCTCTTTCTTGTCTAGTGAATAAATCATCTGAGTCATAGGCAACTACTGGAAGAGAAGTTTTATTGCAAACAAAAAGACGAAGCTGTCACATCGGCACTTTGAATGTTTTTTCAACCCTGCCGCCTACAAAATGTTATTTATCTAATATGTATTTTTATTTTGTCTTCCTTCCTTATACACTTAGTTTTGAATAGGATTTCTAAAGAGTTTAAATTATTTCACTGTCCCCTATTAGGACATGAACAATAATTAATAATTAAAAAAATCCAGAGCTATTTCTGCTTTAGAACAAATTTGTTCAGGAAGCCATTTAAGAACAGACTTCAATAAAAGTGATGCCTTTAATTTCAAGTTAGTTTATTTTAAACATGCATGATATTGAAAGTCAAATATTGGTTTTATAACCAGAAATGATTGTTTTAGCCTAAATACTAATTAGGGTGAAAGAGTTATCTGTACATATTAATTGTTTTAAATTACTTAATACGCAGTTTACTTGTCTGTCTGACTCACCTTTTATTTGTTTTATCAATGGTTGCCAATAATTTCAGCACATTCTAATGACTACAGTACAAAAATATATAATCTCTGACTAAACTTTTTTGATATCTTTCAATTTAAGGTTTGGGGCAATACATACATTTTGTATTTCTGAACACTGTGTCTTCTTTCCTATGTTTTATAATTGACCAAGAAACTCTTGACTTTTAGACAAAAAAGTTCATTATCCTAGATTCTTCTGTTACTTTGAACCTGATTATGAAAATTTCTCTTCCAAATATATGAAGGCTTGCTTCTCAAAGGAAAAATGTATAAGCAGAAATTGTTAAAACAGGCTTTTTTACAGTTTGATTATTATTTTCTTAAGAGAATACGAGCATCTAATGTGCTACATGTTACATGAGTAATCTCTTAAATACGATTGCCTACTGAAGCAATCACAAAAAAGGGCAGACAAATATAAAAATGTTACCTTTGAGAAAAACAGTTACTTGGTGAATTGTATTATTGATTTCCAACCTGCAAGTGAAAATAAAACTCAGCTGAAAAAAATAAATGCAGTATTAACCTAGTATAGTGTTCTTTGACCAGTGGGGAAGAAAAACTTAAAACCAAGGAATTATACTTGCATTTTGAAAATACATTTGAGAATGCAGACATAGAAATAAAACATTTAAATTTGTAAAACCCCTAACAAAAGACTATCTGGTTGTAAGAATATGTGAGAACGAAGCAGAATAAAAATCTTACCCATGGCAACTAAAAATTTCTCTCCATTTATCTCAATTTGAAATTTTGCTGGATATCTCAGCTAGTTCCATTTGTTGTAAGCTGTGTTCACCATTGGATGCCTCCTTGTACATCTGCACTCTGCACAAAAGTAAGAGATGTAAACATTAAAAATAAGGATATAAATTCCCTTGTATCTAAAAGAGAACTGACCCTCTTGGCACATATGCCTATATGAAGTGTCCTAGCTCATACCATCAGATCCTGATTAAACTTTTATTAGAGTTGGACATAGTCTGTTTTTTTTCTGCTCACTGTATATACAGCATGAATGTTTAATCCAAGACACAGATTTATACAAAAACAAACTGCAATTACATATCTGTTTCAGAGAAATCTGAATAATTAACTTGATGGCACTAGGCTTGGGAGAGTGTAATCATTTTCATATAGCACTGCAGGGAAGCCTACCTAAGGACCAAATCTTGATTCTATTCATGGCTAAATGCCCATTGACTACAAAGGGAGCATGATTTGGACCTTAATGAATGCTTGGTGCTGAAATAAGTTTCCTGAGGAACACATTTACTAAACAGATATCTATGAACTCTGACACATTCAACACAGTGATGTTACTGTGGGAGACAAGCTAGTAAAAAAGATGAAATTTAAGATGAAGGCTGACACCCTGTCTTTGACTGCCCCCCACTTGTCAGTGTTTAGAGTTGACTTTTAGACTTATAGACTGATAGACTTTAAGGTCAGAAGGGACCATTATGATCGTCTAGTCTGACCTCCTGCACAACGCAGGCCACAGAATCTCACCTATCCACTCCTGTAACAAACCCCTGACCTATGTCTGAGCTACTGAAGTCCTCAACTCATGGTTTAAAGTCTTCAAGGTGCAGAGAATCCTCCAGCAAGTGATCTCTGCCCCATGCTGCAGAGGAAGGCGAAAAACCCCCAGGGCCTCTGCCAATCTGCCCTGGGGGAAAATTCCTTCCCGTCCCCAAATATGGCGATCAGCTAAACCCTGAGCATGTGGGCAAGACTCACCAGCCAGACACCCGGGAAAGAATTCTCTGTAGTAACTCAGATCCCACCCTATCCAGTGTCCCATCACAGGCCATTGGGCATATTTACCGCTAATAGTAAAAGATCAATTGTTAAAATTAGGCTATCCCATCATACCATCCCCTCCATAAACTTACCAAGCTTAGTCTTGAAGCCAGATGTGTCTTTTGCCCCCACTGCTCCTCTTGGAAGGCTGTTCCAGAACTTCACTCCTCTGATGGTTAGAAACCTTCATCTAATTTCAAGTCTAAACTTCCCGATGGCTGGTTTATATCCATTTGTTCTTGTGTCCACATTGGTACTGAGCGTAAATAATTCCTCTCCCTCCCTGGTATTTATCACGCTGATATATTTATAGAGAGCAATCATATCTCCCCTTAGCCTTCTTTTGGTTCGGCTAAACAAGCCAAGCTCTTTGAGTCTCCTTTCATAAGACAGGTTTTCCATTCCTCGGATCATCCTAGTAGCCCTCCTCTGTACCTGTTCCAGTTTGAATTCATCCTTCTTAAACATGGGAGACCGGAACTGCACACAATATTCCAGATGAGGTCTCACCAGTGCCTAGTATAATGGAACTAACACCTCCTTATCTCTACTGGAAATACCTCCTCTGATGCATCCCAAAACCGCCTTAGCTTTTTTCACAGCCATATCACATTGGCGGCTCATAGTCATCCTGTGATCAACCAATACTCCGAGGTCCTTCTCCTCCTCTGTTACTTCCAAGTGATGCATCCCCAGTTTATAACAAAAATTCTTTATTAATCCCTAAATGTATGACCTTGCACTTTTCACTATTAAATTTCACTATTACTATTACTCCAGTTTACAAGGTTATCCAGATCTTCCTGTATGATATCCCGGTCCCTCTCTGTATTGGCAATACCTCCCAGCTTTGTGTCATCCGCAAACTTTATTAGAACATTCTCACTTTTTGTGCCAAGGTCAGTAATAAAAAGATTAAATAACATTGGTCCCAAAACCGATCCCTGAGGAACTCCACTAGTAAACTCCTTCCAGCCTGACAATTCACCTTTCAGTATGACCCGTTGTAGTCTGCCCTTTAACCAGTTCCTTATCCACCTTTCAATTTTCATATTGATCCCCATCTTTTCCAATTTAGCTAATAATTTCTTATGTGGAACTGTATCAAATGCCTTACTGAAATCGAGGTAAATTAGATCCACTGCGTTTCTTTTGTCTAAAAAATGTGTTACCTTCTCAAAGAAGGAGATCAGCTTGGTTTGGCACGATCTACCTTTTGTAAAACCATGTTGTATTTTGTCCCAATTACCATTGACTTCAATGTCCTTAACTACTTTCTCCTTCAAAATTTTTTCCAAGACCTTGCATACTACAGATGTCAAACTAACAGGCCTGTAGATACCCGGATCACGTTTTTTTCCTTTCTTAAAAATAAGAACTATGTTAGCAATTCTCCCGTCATACGGTACAACCCCTGAGTTTACAGATTCATTAAAAATTCTTGCTAATGGGCTTGCAATTTCTTGTGCCAGTTCCTTTAATATTCTTGGATTAAGATTTTGTGGGCCGCCCGATTTAGTCCCATTAAGATGTTCGAGTTTGGCTTCTACTTTGGATGTGGTAATATCTACCTCCATAACCTCATTCCCATTTGTCATCCTACCATTATCCCTAAGCTCCTCACTAGCCTCATTAAAGACTGAGGGAAAGTTTTTGTTTAGATATTGGGCCATGCCTAAATTATCCTTAATCTCACTCCATCCTCAATGTTTAGTGGTCCCACTTCTTCTTTCTTTGTTTTCTTCTTATTTATATGGCTATAGAATCTTTTACTATTGGTTTTAATTCCCTTTGCAAGGTCCAACTCTACATGGCTTTTGGCTTTTCTCACTTTATCCCTACATGCTCTGACCTCAGTAAGGTAGCTTTCCTTGCTGATCCCTCTCATCTTCCACTCCTTGTAAGCTTTCTGCTTTTTCTTAATCACCTCTCTCAGGTGCCTGCTCATCCAGCTTGTTCTACAACTCCTGCCTATGAGTTTTTTCCCATTTCTTGGGATGCAGGCTTCTGATAGTTTCTGCAACCTTGACTTGAAGTAATTCCAGGCCTCCTCCGCCTTTAGACTGTTGAAAGAGCAATGGTCAGATATGTAGTATGCACAGTTGAGCTGTGGGAAATACATTGGTTTCATGTTGTAGGGGGTCATGGAAATATTTTTTCCCTCCTTTTTATTTCAGTTTGTGAAAACTCAAGAGTAAACCTAAGACAAAATTAATTTCAATGAGCTTTGCCTGGGTTCAGGTCAAAACTAGAGAGGAGTCAATACATGAGAGCACTGATTTGAATTTCCCCAGGAAATGTATGAATTCAGGGCTTTGTTCCAGGCCTATCCAAAGAGTAAACCACATGAAATTACGAAGTTTTCTTACTGAAAAGCAGAAACAAGGATATATATATAGGCACAAAAGTAGATTCACCCGGAACACCAAGCAGAGTGTGTCTCCACATCTGATAATTGTAGGCTTCTCCCACAGGAATTTGTTATGGAACTTTTTTCTTTTCTTCAGGCTTCTGATATTAGTAGGATAGAATTGTTCTACAATCCAAAATTCACCTTTCTTGTCAGCCTATACTGAGGCTTATTTAAAGCATGTTGTAATGGGGAAGTTTATGTAGACAAGCTAAAGTAAGCCAGAATCCTTGTGTCTGACAAAAACTGGCCTCTAGGCAGAGGTATCTAGAATCTCAAAAGTCAAGTTCAGAGACAAAAAATGGGTCACATTTCCCCAACTTCAGAGAGTCCACAATCCTTGAATATCATGTAGCTGGGGAGAATGAGTATGATAGTGCAGAACTGTCCCATGGATACAACTGAGAGCAGCTTACACAAGGCCAATTTTGGTTCTCAGAGGCAAGTAAAAGAGTTTAATGTGGGGAAATGCCATTTGGAAAGTGGAAATTATAATCTTCCCCTTAGTCCTGAGAAGGGGTCCTGCTTATGGGCCATGTTCTGGCCTCTTTGCACCATTCCGATGGAAGGAAGAGACCAAACCCCAGCCACATCTCCCCATTGTGAAGTACTTCAAATGCAGAACAGTCTCTAGCATAGGTGTGTGTCTGGGGGATCAAGAGGGCATGTGGACAGAGTGCAACTCCTTGAGGCTGCTCTACGTTTTACTGGGGGCTACTCTCAGATATTAGAAGGAGCAAAGGTAGCTTAAAGTATCTATGTACCCTCCACCACAACTTGCCCTTGTCTACACCAACTGCAAAGTTGTGTCAGAATTGCATGTATTAGCTTGACCCTTCAAGGTCTTGTTCCATCATGACTAGATTTTGTGGTGAAGCCCTAATTAGACTCTGTCTGCTTCACTCTAAAACTGACCCAGGGATCAGGAGAGTTTTTCTATCAGATCCACTGCTCCTGTCTCTGCCTCAGGTTTCCCCCCATTTCTCCCCTACAGAGATCCCCCACAGTTTGATGCTACAAAGTAGGCCTCACATTCCCTATCTGTTCCTGGTGCAGTGGATGTGGGGTGATTCTGCTGTGTTTTGGGCACTCTGTGGTAGGCAGAGGGCCACGCGATTTAGCTTTGTGAAAGCCAGGCAGCAGCATCTAGAGCCAAAGCCCTGACACTGACTAGCATACACCCTTTCTCCTTAACCTTCCAAGTCTGCTGTGCATAATAAAAAATGAATAATTAATCAGAGAAGGTGAATAAATTACTTTAGCTTAAGGCATCAGTAATAAGATCTGTGTAAATCTCAGCTGTTGACAGCATAAATCCTTCTAGGTGATAGTTTGGCATTTCCTGTGCCCATAGCTGATTTTTCTCATACAAATTAATAGTGACTCTCCTGTTTTTCAGTTTTGATATATCCAATGGGCCCAGTCCCATGAGGTGTATGTATTTGCACAACTCCAGTTGGACTCAGTGGGAGCCCCAACCACAATGGGCTTGTAAGACTGGGTCCAATATGAGCAATTACCTAACAAGCCAGTAACAATGGATCAATAATCACAGAGAGGTTTAAATGTAGAGAAAGGCCACTGAAAGGTGGGAATGTCCAGCCCTTAGAGCCGGTGAAAGGCACAAGAGCCATACATGGATAGCTCTCATTTGCTGTTGATTCCAAGGGGTCTGTGAAGCAGACCCATGGCCATTCAGCAAAGGGAAGAGGATTTCCCTGCTTTGTATCTTCCTCTGTCTTTGTACAGTGCCTAACACAAGTAGGTCCTGATTCTGACTGGCGCTTCTAATTGCTACTGCAATACAAATAATTTATAATAATCCCTGCCAGCCCCCTCAGAATGATCTGGGAGCAACATTGTGAGGAGATCCTTGCAAAGTTCTTCTCACCCTTAACCCTTTCCTATGGGGTTTGGTCAGGAAGGGACAAGCTAAGCTCATATTAGGTAAAGGAACAGAACCATCTTTTATCCTAACACCTCCCTCCCAAAGGTTGTGAACATTTTAATATTTGTCCTCTCTATAATCTGCACTACTGACCCTGGTCTTAATAAATAAATAAAAAGTGGATCTGCCCTAGAGACTGACTTTACCACTTCTAGGATGTGTTATAGGTCAGTTTATTTGTGTTATTGTTTTATTAAGTGTTTAAATGACCAATGAAATGTATCAAAATTATGTAAAGGAGATGTTGGTATGAAGAGGTTGACACTTAATCAACAGTTTCTACAACAAAAAAATTTTATTTTGTTTCTATATACGCCCCCTCTTACAGTTGTTCTTGGTTTGTAAGATAGCCTTCATCAAGGAACCATAACAGTCAAGTGTAATGGCTTCTTACGTGCACTATAATGACTATTGTACTTTGATGCCGTACTACATTCCACCATATTGTATACACCCCTCTCTGTGACACATCAAAACCTGTCTGAGAAGATGTGCTCAGTGGATGCAGGCATTCTTTTAGACATCATAATGCACACAATTTCCATCCTGAGACATTGTAGAAGACTATTTTTAACAAAAGTTTAAATAGAGACATGTAGGAAGAAGCTTTACCAGCCCCTGAAAACTGATTCCTTTTGAAAAAAGTTAGGTTCTGAGGAATTAGCAGTTGTTACTGAACTCTCTCCATTACACCATTCAAAGTGCTGTTGAGTACATCATACCTACTTAGAAACATTAGGTGAAACATTAGGGTTTTGTTGTGAAATTGAGCATTGTCCATTAGCCTGGTGTTTTTAATGAAGAATAACTTTATTGCTTCACTAAATGTGCTTAATAGTTATCTCTTCCTTATAAAAGGCCAGTATAGATGTCCCCAGCAAAGTTCAGAACATGGTTTGCTCCACTGAAATGGATGGTTAGTAACATTTACTTGATACTGGTAGTTATGATATAGTCAGACACATGGAAAGGAATGGGAGAGCTCACCTATTGTAGTATCACCACCTTTTAGGCCAGATTCTGATCCTCTGGGCAAAGCCCAAGAATGGAAAAACCTATGGAGAGACATGGACTCCTTTACCTCGACCCAGTATCCAGGCACTCCTTGCTCACTACCAGAGACATTGTGCACCTCCACTCAAGGATTTTAGGCTAGTGGATCCATGTAGATTGTGGGCTTGACACCCATACCCTAGAGCAAGTTTAGGTTTGAAGTAGTGCTCTGTGACACACGGGGCTCATGAAATGTCCCTGCTCTGCTTATCCAGGGCTCCCTCCTCACCCCCACTGTTAGAGGACCCTGAAGGCTGGGCTTGGCAGGAAGTACTGCCCAGCAGGATTTGAGTGGCAGCCCCCAGCAGCCTCCTTTTTGGCTGATACCAGTACTTAAACCAGGAAGCCATAGAGGGGAGCTGTCTGAGCAATCACGCAGACTGTCCTACTGTCTCTGCTTCAGATCGTGCTTGTGATAGACTCTGGCTTCTGCCCCTGGTTTGTCCTCAACTTTGTTATTCGATTGCTGTCTGTAACTTGGTGCCCGACCCTGATTTTCTGGTAACCTGATCCTACCTGCCTCCTGTTACTGGACTCTCACTTCACTTTCTAGCCTGTCTTGGGGGTATGTCTATGCAGCAGAGAAAAACCTGTGGCTGCCCTGTGCCAGCTGACTCAGGTTCATGGGGCTAAGGCTGTGGGGCTGTTTCATTCTGTGCAGATTTCTGGGGTCAGGCTGGAACCCAAACTCTGGGACTTTCCACCTCGCAGGGTCCAAGAGCCCGGGCTCCAGCCTGACCCCAGACATCTACACACCAATGAAACAGGGCCGCAGTCTGAGCCCCATGAGCCTCAGTTGGCTGGCACGGGCCAGGCATGGGTGTCTAGCTGCTGTGTAAATGTACTCTTGCACTTTCACCCACGGGTAACCTGACTGTGCCTGCCTCCTGATGTCTGACTCTCAGTTTGCCCTCTGGCTTGTCTCGGACTCTGACCTCCCGAGTGCTGCTCTGACCCAAGTGCTGCTATGACCACTAGGTAACACTGCCCTCGTCCCAGTTGTGACACCAACCCACCCTCGTGTTCAGTGGAACTGTATTAGTTCTACATTTCAAACTTTGGTTTCCAAATGGTTAAGTGGGTTCTGCTGATTCACTGAGGGAGGTATCTCATCACTCACCTAGATAAAGAGGATGTGGTTGTTAAGAAAGGAAGAATCTAGGGTATGGGCTGAGCAATCCTGAGGTAGGAGCCCTCCTGGGGGATGGCATGAGCTGAACTTTCTTATGTTAGTAAGGCAACAGTGTTTGGGCTTTGTTTTGAACAAGTTGTGAAAGACACCTGCTCACACTGTTCTGTGTGTCAACAGAGAACTGCACATGTTGTTCTTCAAGCAGGACCTGCAAAATCTAGGAGTCAAAAGAGTCTGAAAAAATCATTTACCTAAACATAAATATAAACAGGAATTATATTTCAGAAGAGGTGTGTGCGTGTCTGGGTGGGTGTGAGAAAGAGTATATTTAAAGCGTTTTTACACTTTGGGCCAGATTTTGTCCTCATTTACACTGGTGTAAATCCAGAGTAATTCCATGGAAGTCAATGGAGTTATCCTAGATATATATGAGTGTAGTTGAGCAAGATTTAGCCCAGTATTTGTATAATATTTTTAAAATGTTGTCACATTAAAAGAAAATGTACCAAAAACATTTTATAGGAGCAATGCTATATATCGTACATCACCACACAGCTGAGATATGTGGGGATTTTGTATAATTGCTGCCCCTGCCTCCCCCAGGATATGTTGTTTAGAGAATTTCAGGCGCAACATGTTTCTTTGTTCCAAAAAAATCCCCATCCTGCTGCATATTTTTCAATTTGCCTGCCTTGAATTGTTTGAATCCTAATATTAGCACAAAAATAATACATTCCATCTGTAGATAGATCTTAAAATGCTTTACAAAGAAGGTTGTGTCAGTGTCCCCATCTTCAAGATTGAGAGGTTATATGACCTATCCAAGATCACTTATTGAGCCAATGGCAGGTCTTCTGACTCCAGGTCTAGTGTTCTAAAGGCAGCCTTGTCCAATGGGTAGAAAGGAAAAATTATTTAGCTGCAGACGGCTAATGAAAGTCATTGCATTTTTGTGTGCCAGTCACATCCTTAAATTGGGTGCCTAAAAACAGTTCAGCTCAGTTCACAAAATCAGTGAAACTGAGGTGGCAGAGATCTATTAGGTCATCTTGTCGATGTACATAGCCATGGTATGTGTTAATTTTGAATACATATGTTTCAATATGAAGCTTCCATCATAGAAATGTTGCAGCTAAGAAGCTGCAGAGTTAATTCCCAGGCAGGTGGATTATTAGGGGTAATAAATAAACCCTGGCTAGTGAAGTCAGAACTATTTTAACATTAACAGGTTTCAGAGTAGCAGCCGTGTTAGTCTGTATTCGCAAAAAGAACAGGAGTACTTGTGGTACCTTAGAGACTAACAGATTTATTTCTGCATCCAATGAAGTGAGCTGTAGCTCACGAAAGCTTATGCTCAAATAAATTTGTTAGTCTCTAAGGTGCCACAAGTACTCCTTTTCTTTTAACATTAACAGATGCCAGGAGCAATGAATTAGTGTTTTTAGGGTTTTTCATAATGTCTGCAGCAGTGAAATGTAAAGAGGAATCTGTTTTTCCCACCTTGCACCATCTGTTATTTATAACAATCAGTAATAGATAAGTTGTTCGTGTTAGTTACAGGAGCAAATTAGTTTTATTTTTAATTGTTTCTCCCCTCATGTGGTAGGTATTTTATATGAGGATAAGAACTGTAATCACTTGGAAGATAAATGGAAAGTTAGGACTTTTCCCTGTATCATGATACTTGGAATAAATCACCTTTCTTTATATAGGGAAACAAGTTATAAATAACTCAGTGGGTAACCTTTCATTAAAAGTGTGCTTCAGTTACTATAAAACATGTCATTGAGGAATAATGCCTGCTATTATGATTCATCCATATGGTTTTATAATCCCCGGTTAACACTTCTTTGCCCAGTGTATTTACTGGACTATACTCTCCCAGTTGTTCTTAGGCAGAACACCTCATTGATTTCAGTGGGGAGTTTGGATTAAAATTTGACAGCACAAGCCAGTCCAGTATGTGTAATTCCAACATGCTATATGCAACAGCGGTCGGTCTGTTTTAGATCTCATCTTTTCCATAAGTGGCTCTTCATTGCTGTCCTTCAGCTTCTGGGCTTTCTCCTTGTCTGCAGGGGTGAGAGACATAGAATTTAGGCACAGATCTTGTGGCCCAGGGAAAGGTGAGGTGGGATATTCTTTCAATCCACCTGAAGGGGCTGGTTGGCTGGGACTCTAACTGGGAAGCTTAGTACCGGTCAGTTCTAATGTAGATGGTAGGGACAGAAAATAGGTTTTGCATTGTTTCTGTTATAGTTAGGGTATGTCTACCCAGCAAAAGTTGCGTGTTTCTGCTAGTCTACCTGAGCAGCTTAAATCCAGCTAGTGCGGGTAATAGCAGCCAAGTCAGCAGAGTGAGAGCTTCAAAGCAAGCTAACAAGCCAAGAACATACCTAGGATCCATGCTAGGCTTGTACTACTAGTGCTGAAGCCCGAACTAGCTCAGGTGGGCTAGCCCGTGCACAGCTTTTGCTGTGTTGACATACCCTTAGTCACACAAAGGACCCTATTGTGCTTGACCCTTTCAGAGGTGCAGAAGGGGGAAGTGGCCTTTCCCCCCCTTTTGCATCCCCATTCAAGAGCTAGGCCCAATTGCTCTCTTCTGAGTTAAGGGACTGCTTCCTGTTGGCATCCTGAGGCATTCTAGTCACTCCAAAGAAGGTGGGAGGAGATGGGGTTATGGCTCTGCTCCTCTCTTCATGCTGGCCTGTGGAGTTGGCTGGCTAAAGAAGGGAGAGTATAGGATGTTGTACCTTCTTTTGCTCCAGTGGTAGCTGTGAGTCCTCAGAAAATCAGGTGTTTCAGTTTAGGCAGCCAAAATTAGTTGAATGCATCTGAAAATATTATAATTGTCCCTCTTCTTCCTCATTAGCACCTGGTGTTGCTGGTTGCTGGTAAGTCCCAGTACCTATGTGCTGCAGCCACTGTTCAGGGACGATTCCTCTCTGTCATGCTCTCCCTTTTGCCTTTTAATCCTTTTAACTTCCTTCTTTCTTATCTGTAAGTGTCGGGTCAAATTACAAAGGTTTCCTATCACAGGCAGCACCTCCGTGTGGAAGGAGGAATTCTTGCCTGGTGGTGCAACACAGCTCCGCTGACTCTGAGTGTTCTCAGCACTGACTGGCCCATGTGCAGTTAGCATTCTTTCCACAGTTTCTGTGGAAACGTCCACACTGCTGCTCCAGCAGGGAAGTGGCTTTTCACCTCTAGGCGTTCACAGAGGGCCATTGTGATTAGAAAATTAATCATTTTATAAAGATAATACTTTGCATTTCCATAGCAACTTTCTTCCCAAGATGTCAAAGCACTTTACCCAGATAAGTGAATGACATGGGAAGGTGTTGTATACTCCAGGAACATGACTCACCTAATTCTCCTTTAAATCCATTAGCCTGAGACAGATTTAAATGGATTTTACTTCTCTAACTTCACAGAAGATAGCTAGTCTTGCAAGTTCTACCCCCCCATCCACATCTATCAACGGTTATAATTAGTGATTAAAGACTTAAGCAGGATAAGGGGAAAACATAACTGGTTTATTAGACAACAAGATTTAAACAACAAGGACCCCAAAAAGAAACAGAACAAATAATAATAGTCTGGTTGTTAATGATGATGTTATGGACATGAATTCCGGAGCCCGCAAACCCTTACACAATAGGGGAAACTGAGGGACAATAAAAGGCAATCACAGTACCATCTCTCTCACTGACCCAAGGGAGGAACCCTGTTGCTTCAAGATGATGATGACCGGTTCCCTGGACTGGAACTGGAACTCAGGAACACAGGGACAGAAGCTGGAACACAGGAATGGTGGAACAGGTGATCACTTAGGTAAGTGGCCAATGTCCTCTTTTTCTTCTATCTTCTGTTCTTGAAGATGTCGTCCTATGTGTGGTATGGAGACTCTTCTTTCTTAGATGTGTAACGGTTGCAT